TAATCTGGAGTCATAGATACTGCGTGTAGACTGGCATCGACTTTTCGAGGTCATTTCAGCAGCTTCATCAGAAAGTCCTGCTGATCTGAAGGACTGTTTGACAATAGCCAACAGGTCAGGTGTAGTGACGTCGGATGCGGGTGAAGCACGCCTGACCTCGGTTAATGTAGCAGATCTGGCCTGTCGGGAAGGATCACCGGTAAACGGATGAGAAGTCTGGTCAGACGCCGGAAACACGGTTGGAGTGGCCAGATGTATGACACCACTGAGGAGTTGTCCGAGCGGATGAGGACTTGTTTGCCTATGATGTTTGGGCAGAAAGCCTTCAGTGCATTGAATACTGCCTGAAGTTCCAGTATATTGATGTGACTCCCTTGGAGCTGGAGGTTCAATGTTGCCAATGCTTGAAGCAGCAGTAGGGAGGCTCCCTAGCCTAGATGAGAAGATCCAATGTTATAGTTATTTCTGGGATCTTGGGGGAGGGGACTCCGAGAGAGAGGTGTTCCTTAACTAACCACCACTGAAGATGAGGGTGGATGAAATCTGATATGGGGACCTGGAGATTGATTGAGTCCCATTTAGGCCTGTAGAGTGCTAGGAGATGAAGTTGTAGTGGGCGCATGTACAGCCTGCAGAGGGGAATGAGATCCACCATGCTGGCCATCAAGCCAAGGAGACGGAGCCAGGCGCGGGCCGAAGCAGACTGCTGAGTAGAAAATACTTTCATGCAGTCGAGAAGATTGTCGGCGAGATTATGCCTCGTTGAAGGTCGATAGATGCCCCTAGATATGTTGTGTATTATGTTGGGGAGAGATTTGACGTCCCATGGCTGATGATGAAGCCCAGGCTATTTGTGACGTCGCAAGTGAGGTGGGTAGAAACCTCTGCTTCGTTGAACGATCTGCCGACGATCAGCCAGTCGTCCAGGTACTGGAACAGCATGATGCCCCACTTTCGAAGGTGAGTGGCGACAATCTTTGCAACCCTTGAGAACACACTCGGTGAAGTGGAGAGGCCAAGGGGAGGGCCGTGAATTCGAAGAGGTTCCTGTGGTATAGGAAGCGTAGGTATTCGTGGGTGAATCGGAATGTGGAGGTAGTTATCTTTCAAGTCTATGGAAGAGGCACAGCATGGGATCTGTAGAGATTGGGTGACCGTCCGAAGGGTCTCCATGCGGAATTTCTTCGAGCGGATAAAGTGGTTTAGAGGTTTGAGGTTGATAATAGGTCGCCAGCTGTTGAGTTCCTTCTTTGGAGTGAGGAAGAACATTGAAATGAAGCCCTTGTTCCCTTGAGATTTTGGAACCAGGCGGAAAGCACCCATTCGGAATGCTTAGGAACCGGGTCGCAGAAGTGCTATGCCCAGACCCAGCAAGCAGGGGAAATTTCAACCCCGAGTGCAGCGCCACTCTGCGTTATCGTTGACTGAGATGCTTCGGTGTTACGTTGGGGAACTGAGCATTCAGATATCGCAAGCACTCTCGCTCAGGCCCTTGAAGCGTGGCGTGGGCTATCCCTGAACTGAACCAAAGATGGTATTGCCAGCAGGGATTAGCTGCGGGATCACAAGTTTAGCAAGATGCCACTCGATCCTCCACAGACCGACTCCTGTCGTTCTATAGGGGAATGTGAGGTCGCAGAATTTGAACTCTTGCACTCCCTCGTGAACCCTAACAAACCCAGGGTCGCCCTGTTGACCCTATAAATATACCAAGGAAAGAGAGGGACCGCGGTATTGGATCGCTCGCACCGCCTCACAGAACCCCCAACAATCCCAGGGTCGCCCCGTTGACCCTATGTATCGCTTGGTAGTAACAGTGTAGAGTCAACATTCTATGAAATGCACAAACATGAGAAGAGAAAATATACCACCAAAACAAGAAAATAAACGCATTAACTCAGAAATATAGAATGTACATTTATTATAACACATTACGGTTTGATCAGAATATCAAAAAGGTGTGGAGCGAAACAGAGACTCGATAAACTTAAAGATGTCAAAAAGACATGTCCATGTAGAATCACGCTAAGGAAAAGAAGGACGAACATGGCAGCCATTCCGCTATGCATCATGGGACTAGAGGGCACACTACGGTTGATCAGAAGTTTTAGCAAATTAAATCAGATGCAATTTGCATATTTAGCAACTGTTTGGGGTAGGCTGAAAGCAGAAAACAAGCAGTTTTGAACCAGTGACAGCATTGTTCACGTCTTTGTGTGGACTTCTGGATACTTCAACCACAGTACGATCAAAATATGGCCTGGAACATTTTGCAACAATCTGACCTTTGACCCTGTACTGGGCGCCTAGCAGGATAAGGTTTGTGGTGGCCAGGTCCAGTAATATCTCCAGCTTCTTTGCATTTTCATCCAGAGTGCTCAAATCAGTCAGTGGGGGGATTTTGTCGTAGGTGAAGTTGACGCACGGAATCAGCTGATAGTACTCGCTGCTTAAATCGCATACCTGGGGGGTATCGACATAAAAAGCTTCTGATGTAGGTTTTCCTAAACGAAGAGTTAGCTGTCCAAAACATCACACTCTCAAGATTCAGTATTCCTAGCATTCTGCTGGTATTTTCAAAGCAGACCAATATATATAATTTGCCTCTGTCAAAAGTCACGATTTCAGTCTAAAATAAAACCTTGACTATCTTACCCTTTCCATGTCGGCCTGGTACTTCTTCATGTCTCGGTCAGAAGCCTTCTTATCCTGCTCCGCTTCCTCTAAAATCTCCCTGACAACAAAGTGCATACAGGTAAAATGTATCTGAGCTTCATCAAAAGCACTGCCAGCAGAAAACATCATCACTCTTTTTTTTTTTCACATCTGCTCTTTTTTGCTACACCAGAATTTCTGCTAAGCAACCTTCTCTGATATTAAGAGACTGTTTGGAAAGGGATCCTCTGAAACATATCTGGAAATTGTTGGAATCAATGTGATCAGAGCACATGGGTAAAATTCAACCAGACAAGGCATGTCTTGTATGACAGGTTTAACTCAGTAAGATATGAGCACAGCTTGTCTGAATATGGCATCTAATTCCACCAAGGCCAGCCACACAAAAAAAAACACAACAGAAACTGTTGACACTCTAGGTCAGTTGATAAGGTACTACTTGGTTTCCTGTTAAAGCTGACTGTCAGTCTCACCTTATCTTGACCAAGACCTCCTTAGCTTTTAGTAGAGATTCCCTGGGGAGGTGGTTGCCCATGTTCATAATGGACGTGTCAATGCCAGAGTCCGACAAGGCCCTTGCAAGTATCTCTGGTTTGATCTGATAAAAACAAACATCACTTGTGCATTAACAGTAGAGCGGATCATTAGTTTATAAATTTTTTTTTTTTACATGCGAAGCAATAAATGTGCAGAACTCTTAAGATAAATGCATTTTGTTACACAAAAGGAAATGGCTGCTTGGTTCAAAAAGCTACCTCTTTGTTCATGCAAAAGGCCTACAATTTGACACAAAAGCAACACATCAGCTACACCATATTAACCACTTCGTGCCGGGGCATTTTTCAATGTTGATGATGCTGGGCAGGCATGATATCATTTTTTCCGTTTTCAAAATCCTTCAAAAATTCATCATTCCATTTAACGATCGTTTATAGCCGCACCAAGTAATCTTCAGGCACTACTCTAAGTTGACAGGTGACTTTCATTGACACCCGAGTATTTCAGCCAGGCCTGCAGCCTTGTAAACAGAGCCCAGATTGTGCGATGTTATACAACTGTCTTTTGTTCAC